TTCCATTTCCAAGAGGCCACACTTGGCTGAGCTTAATCAACCCTGTGCTTCCTACAGTCCTCGGAGAATCAGCTCTGCCTGTGTTAGAAAATGCTTTTTTCCCCCCCTCGATTCTGGTCTCTGTATCATGTCCTGCTGCAGTTTTGAAATTTTGGGCTTTCCTTCCCTCGGCTAAGCAGCAGAAGTGCAGGGACGCACTGAGTATAATAGATATTAGTTCCCAGGTAACCCACTCATCATTAACTGGCACTTACGGTCTCAATGACTCACTCTGAGTTATTAGCATAAAGAATAAAATTGTTCCATTTATTTTGTGTTGTTTAGTCATTAAGTCATGTCCGACTCTTTGTGACCCCATGGACCATGCATACCAGGCCCTCCTGTTCTCCGCTGCCTCCCGGAATTTGGTCCATTTAGTTACAAATGTGAAAATGTTCACAACAAACTATCACAACTGTAATTAATCACATGCAGAGAGTGGTGGTGGAGAAGGAAGAGCCCAGTGCCTAGGGACAAGAGTTAAAATGAAAAAAACAGACAGAAGTTAGAGGTGGGAGGCGTAAAACATGAACAGCGTGCTGTCTTCATGTTTAGCACATCAGATGCTCTTTGTGAACTACCATCATGCCAAGTTTAATGGTGATGTTTAAATCATACAGAGAGAGAGAGAGAGAGAGAGAGAGAGAGTTGGAGTATCCCCAGTCAAATGAATAGGAGCTTCAAAAATCCTCAGTTTAGTCTAGATTCAGAACCCATGTTGGATTGTAAATTGCATCAGACTGAACTGAACCTTTGTCTGGCGTGCTGAAGAAGACCTGAATCAAATGGGAAGAACTTCAAACATGCATTCAAAACACTCCAATAACTTCATTTATAGAAAAGCAAATCCCCTGGGTACTTGGTTCTGAGTAAAACATGCAGAGGAGTGTGCTATTATATCTCATTGGCTTGGATAGTAAATTTAATTTTCAGTAGCTTTATACCACTCTTTAACAATAATTTTAAAAAATTCTAGCAGAACTCTTAAGTGTTTCCCTTTGTCTGGATCTTGGCCAGACTTTTAAAACTTCATAGAAATACATATATTTATATAAATCATATGATAGTGTAAACCTGACACCCAATATTAACATAGTGCTATGTGTATATATTTCCCTCCAGTGACCGACATGAATTGCAGTTTTGTGGAATCACTGAGGCATCTCACAAAAGCAAATGATGTATGAAATGGAAAAGTCAAACACTGCAAAATGTACAGATGTTGTCTCCTGGACAGCTGGTTCTTCCTTCTTGCTTCACCTCAGGAACTGAGGCACAAACACCACAGAAATTCAGTCAAACGAAGTTCAGCAATAATGATAGTAATGTGCAAAGATGCTGAATTTACAGAATCAAGGAATATATCCCCATCGGATGGTTCTCGTATTTGAAAAAGGAATGAAGATGGGAGTACATTTATGAAACATGGAGCTAGGACAGATGCTTTCTAAAAGCGCGATGTGTTGCACAACAAGCTCTAAGTTTTTCGGATGCTGCCATCTTGAGGACACCCAGGATTACAGCTGGGTTTTGTTGATGAATGCTGAAGGCTGGCAAAGATGTAGACCCCCCTCAGAAGTCAGTATTTTTTGGAGTTTAAGGTGGGGCAGAAAAGGATTAATGGAACCCTGGTAGTACTGCAGGGATGTGGTGGCACTGTGGGCTAAACTGCAGAAGCCTCTGTGCTGCAAGGTCAGAAGACCAGCAGTCATAAGATCGAATCCACGCGACGGAGTGAGCTCCCGTCGCTTGTCCCAGCTCCCGCCAACCTAGTAGTTTGCAAGCATGCAAATGCAAGTAAATAAATAGGGACCACCTCGGTGGGAAGGTAACAGCGTTCTGTGTTTAAGTCGCACTGGCCATGTGACCACGGAAGATTGTCTTCGGCCGAAACGCTGGCTCTATGGCTTAGAAACTAGCTGGGTTTTGTTGATGAACGCTGAAGGCTGGCAAAGATGTAGCCCCACCACCACATAAGTCAGTATTTTTTGGTGTTTAAGGTGAGGCAGAAAAGGATTAATGGAACCCAGCTGGATAGTTCAGCCAGTTCTTGTTATCATAACATCCTGAATACACCCAATCTTGTCTAATTTCAAAAGCAAACAGGGTCACTAGTACTGCAAGAAACCACCTGGATAGTTCAGCCAGTTCTTGTTATCATAACATCCTGAATACACCCAATCTTGTCTAATTTCAAAAGCAAACAGGGTCAGCCCTGATTTGTTAGTGAATGGGAGACTATCTCTCCCAGTAGGGCTAAGAAAAATCCTTTCTGAAGCCCTGGAGAGCCAGTGATCACTAGAGTTGACAATACTGGGCTTGAAGGACTAATGGCAGTACAAGGCAGTTTTGTATGTTCGCTTACCGAGGACCATTCAGATATTAGCGAAGTAGCAGGTAGATGGAGGAGGTAGCCACGTTAGTCTGTTCGAGCATATCGGGCAAAATCCGAAGAAAGAAAAGAAAAGAAAACAACAAGACAACAAGATGGGGCACCTTATTTGAATGTAAGCTTTCGTGTACATGCAAGCTTCATCAGACATGGAAAGAGAATGAAATGTTGAATGAAATATCCGTTTAACAAGTAAAACATTCTAAGTACTCATTGGCTTTTTGCATGGTACATCCAACATGGAGTTTACAAACTTTTGCCATGCCAAAAGCCACTTCCTTGCTGGCAGACGCTAAGAAGACTGGAGCGTGTTGAGTAAGCCTTTGAGCAGGACTTTGGTGATTTTCCAAGGCAGAATAAAGAGTGTATTTGTGGCAGAATGGTTGAGAACCCTGTCATGCCAGAAAACTGCGGCATTCCATGTTGTTTACGTTGCTCCAGAGATGTCATCGTAAGAGACTCTCTCTTTTATTGTAGTTGAAATGCTGCTATGCTGTTGATTCCATTTCTATCTTTGGGGGCTACTTTGGTGTAACTGCAGAGACCTCTCTTATCGCAGCCATGCAGTAACCAACTGTGATCAGGGAACCTGGCCAAGTTATGTTTTCAAGCCTCGAGTAAGTTAGGGTAAAGCTTGGGAGAAATCATTTTTTTTGAGAGGCTGTAAGGTTTTAGAAGTTCTGGCTAAAAGCGGGGAGGGAGTGTTCCAGACGCTGATCTCCAGATGGACAGCACTTAGGTGGCACTGAACAACAACTTCTATGATGATTGAGGACTGGCAGTGCTGGCTGGGGCTGACTGGAGATGAACTCCAACAGCATCTGGAGGACAAAAGATTTTCTCTCCGTTTGTATGGGACTGTGAATGAGTCCAGTCATGGGAAAGCTTTACTCTGTTAACCCAGGGTGACAACAAGCAGGAAAGGCCAATGTTCCATCTCATAACCTCCTCCAGTTTTTTTCCTTCTTCTTCCGCATTTCTTCTTTTGTCTTAAACTACAACATAAAGATAAACATAAAATACATAAACCAAAATCCAAATTGACTGTGTTCCCCACCACCCTAGTTGGGACCTCTTGCAATCATCCACTTCTTCCTCTATCTTTATTCTTCTTCTTCTTTTATTGTCCTCTTCTCCAGAAGTGCATTGATTCTTGATTTGGAGCTTTCCCTTTTCCTCTTGTTAGCACATATTCAAGAAATCTGCCCCATATATCATAGAAATCATTCTTTTTCATCTCTCCTTTCTTAACCTTTAAGTTACAAATTAACATCATTTATAGCAATGTTCCATTATACCATTCTTCCATTCGAAATTCAGACTGTGATTTCCAATTCCTAGCTATTATTAATCTGGCTGATGTTAATAAATTGGTAATCAATTCTCTAGTCATCTTATCATAGTCCACATTCTCAAATACTGATAATAGAGCAATTGCAGGATTAAATTCTATATCTTTTTCACATATGTCATGTAGTTCTTTAAAGGTTAGTTTCCAAAATCTTTGTACTTTTTTATATTCCCACCACATATGAAAGTATGTACCAATTTCCTTCTCACATTTCCAACAGACATTCAGATAACTAGCATTAATTTTATTCAATGTTGTCGGTGTCAAATACCAATTTAAGCCCAAATTGAATTTTTTTTCTCTTATTCTCACCGACATAAATAGTAAAACCCATATTTTCCACTTCTTCCTCCATTCTTCATCATTTATTCTTTTTCCTAAGTCTTGTGCCCACACTAACTTCAATCCTTCATTCTCAATCTCTTTTTCTTCTAGATCAAGCAGGTCTATAAATTTTACTCACTACATCCTTCACTGATTCAATAATCTGAATATCTTCATATGATAATAGAAATTGTTCATACTTTGTACATTCTTTACCTTTATTGTACTTCTTTACCAATTCATTAGTCCCTCTTTCTAATTGTGTATAATTCAACCATGTTATATTCTTATTTTGAAAAAAAAGTTTTATTTGATCTTTCAATCTCATTTTATCCATCCAATCTTTTAA